ATTCCTTTCACTCCTCTGAGTAAAACAATACAGCTTGAGATGTAATCATGAAGATTGCTGGTTATGAGTGATTCTGAAAAGTTCAAGAGAGGCTACAATTCCCATCATTACCTATACTAAAGCACACTGAGTTATCTGATCAATACTTGATGGAACAAGGTTTATTAGAACAATGCCTTGACTCTTCAGAGGATAATATTCAATTTGTGTTTTGTGAGTCGTTCTTGAAGCAGAATAATGTGTGGCATTTGCATTTTACAAATTTTACATATCAATTTAGATTGATATGGCAAAACAACCCCCAAGTTTCAAGTTAAGCTATTCTCATCGAGATAGCTCTATCTAATTGGACTTGGATCCAAAGGCTGTATATGCACCATGGCTTTCCAGTCCATTTCCCACTGGACTCTTTCCAGCTCCTTCCCCTTTCTGCTTCCCCACGAAAGCTGTCTTGAGAACTGGGGAACCCTCTAGAGCAATATATGATGCTTCAGGGGGAAGGGGTGGGGGAGGAAAAACAGGCAGTCAACCTCCCCTGCCCCCATGCAGGAGTCTGCTTTGAGCTCATGCATACTGCTTATTGGATCCTAGCCTAGTTTTTACACAGAGTTTCTGCTGGCAATTACAACCCCAAAATACAGCTGTGCAACTTATAAAGAATCGTGCCCCATTATATGGAAAAGGATGTTAATCTTTCCAGTGCAATATTATCTGCAGGATATTCATAGTCCATATTTTAATTACACACAACTCACAGAGCTTTCATGCAAGTTATTGCATATTCCTGTGGCCCCAATGTCCTTGGGGCAATAGCTGTCAGATTTTAAGGTTCACAGCCCAGCTTTAGCTACATCCAGCAACAGGGGACTCACTTCAATATTTCTAAACCATATATGTCTAGCTTCCTGCAATCAGATATAAGGAGAGAAAGCAGGGGACTAATGTACATTTATGTTCGCGCCAGGGAAGCTGTGATTCTCCAGATGTTGTTCAACTCCAGATTCTATCAGCCCCAGACACCATGGCCAATGATAATGAAAGACGGCAGTTGGAGTCTGACAACATCTGCAGGGCCACTGGGTTCCCTGCCCTGATTTAAGTGTTGAACATCCAGATGAAATTTTTGTAGATGTCGTTTCCTCAAGTAGTGATGAAAATAGATGCTCTTGATGAAGTTCCCCATTCTATAAAAGGGGTCATTTGTTGTAACCAAATACACTATTTTTCTCTCCTAAAAACACACACACACACACACGGTGGTGGTGTCACTGCTGTGACCCACATTTGGTCAGGATGTAGACCAAAGTTCTCAGGAATGCACATACTCAGGGCGTTCTTTATCATATTCCCTAGCAACAGGTGGTGTTAACTTAAAAATCACCCAACAGATTTTAACCCTTTTCTAAGTTGTTGTGGGGTTTTTTTAATAATCACAGGGCATGAGCCAATACACTGGGAGCTACTGCCTGGAAAAGCTAAAAAGATACAACAAGCAATGGCACAGCTCTGGCCCATATGGACCTCAGGATTGCAGTTAGATTCACATATCATATTATATATAATGTTGAACAGCTATATTTAGAGGTGCCACCAGAATTTAGTTCAGTTGACCATCTCTTACTGGAATTAGCTTAAAAAATTATGTATTAAGCATCACCAAACTGTAAACTGAATTACCACAAGCATAGTATCTTCAGGATATTCTGGGCCACACGATTGCAAACAATATGTAAAAAGCAGACTCTCTCATGATTCTGCCATGGCACTTTGCATTATATGAATGGATGCTTTCACAAAATGAGTGCAATCACCCCCCTTAACTCAAGCTATAGCTTGAGAATAGAACACATTTTTCATACAAATGGTCTAAGGAGCCATCCCCGCCATTTCCAGCTAAATAGATCTCTGGTAGCAAGGCCTCGAAACTACCTGACTCAACATAAGTCACATTCTTACTTCATATGAGTGACCATATGTATTTAAAAATAAGAATCTTGAGTTCTACTTTTCTGTGTTATAAGCTTTTCTTGAAGATGCATTTGTTATGGTACCAAAAATAGTTTTAATGAATACCTTGAGTTCAGCAGCTTCCTCATTTTTTTAGTAGTTTCTAAAGAAAACCACAGCATTTAAAATAATAATAATCAAAGGGTGAACTTATCACATCCATGCTTGCCTCCCAAAGACAGGTACAAATAAATAAGGCAGCCCTAATGATGCCAGATATCTAAGCTGCCACAAGGTAGCCATTATTGTTTGAAAAATACAACTACATGATTCATCTCCTAATTATATAGCAGACCCATTTGTAATCTGTGTTATCTTTTGGTCTGTTATAGTTTCAAGAATTTTGCTTTTGGCTTCAGAAAGTAGGCAGTTAATTGCCATTATGAGAAGCTATTAGTATGAGGATTACTGTAATAGTGTAGCAAGACTGATACTTTTAAGGCACAATCATGATCATTCCCATTAATGAGTGCTAATCCCCACATCAGCTTCAAAGTGAGCGAGTGACTTTACTATTCTTAAGTGCATGAGAAGTAAAAGCAACCATGTACTTTGCTTGCCATTGATTCTACTGAAGTCAGCAGGCAAAATTTTGCTATTGACTTGGGCTCTAATGCCAACCGTTCAGATCTCTCCAGTGTCACATTTTCACAACAGAGCCTTTAGATTACATGGAGTACTTGGAATACCTTGGTTCCTAGCTTAGTGAATTCAAATATGCCACCTTGTACAAGATTCATCTTGTATCACTATACTCTCACACATATTACTTTGAATTTGTAACTGGAAACAATATGGAATAGATTTATGAATTGAATTTGATGCACAAATTGGCAATGTGATATGTGTGTGGTCTTTTGAGATGCTTAGGTCACATCCTGGCTAAAACTCTGGATTTTAAAATATTACTGACTCTATTGCATGAGTCTCAACATGCTGCATGCTAATGAAGGATCCACAGAACCATGATACTAGTTTTTGAATTCAATACATATTATCATATTCATTTAAACATCCTGCCTTTCCTTCAAAGCCCAAGTTGATGAGTTGAAACATTTGAGCCTGGGATTGGCTCCAAGAGCCTGTTTGGTGAGCAGGGGAATGATATATCTTATGTGAGCAGGGAAAACTGTGTGTGTGTTGCATGCTTGATTCACTGGTATGAGCTAGCACAGTGTTAATTGGATCCCACCATGATTTATTAAATATTACCCCCCAGACAAGCTTCCTATGAAGTTCTAATATAATGCTTGCAATTAGTGACTCATTCTTAAGGATAGTTTGGACCAAGTAACATCAAATGTAGTCACCGTTTCCTTCTTAACCTTAGTTATTTCCTTCAAAGCTAATTTCAGCAAGAATGACAAATTATTGAATGATTAGTTCATAAAAATATTGCACAGGGATAGTTAAGTAGCAGCAGATTACCATCCTGGTATAAAATGTATATGTGCTACATGTATATGCAAAATGAAAACTGTCAGTTACAAGCTTCAGTTTAAGATAGTACAGTGGAACCTTGGTTCCCAAACTTAAGTCTGTTCAATTCCTGAAACAGTTCAGGAATCAAGGTGCAGTTTCTGATTGCCCGCAGCAGCTTCCTGCAGCCAATCAGAAGCCGCACCGGGTGTTTGCCTTCCAAATAACATTTGAAAACCAGAACAGTTACTTCCGGTTTTCATTTGTTCAGGAGCCGGAAGGTTAGCTCCCTGGGTGTTCGGGAGCCAAGATTCCATTGTATAGCATTGGCCCATCTCATTTTATCCCCTGAACACATGGGCAATGGGACTTTAAAATTCATGCCCCAAAGAAAACTCCAGCAAAGCAACTTACAGTAAGAGGGACAGAGATGAGGCAACTTTTCTGGAAAGTAAATATAAAAAGGACTCTCTGCATGTATAGATCTCAAATCTCCTTGAACAGTTCTGCACAAAAGGCAGAGATGGACAACGCTTATTTCTGTTGAGGGCCATTTTGTCTCAGGGGTAATATATTGGAGACTGCATGCTGGTAGTGGATGGGACTGCAGCCACCAATGGGGAAACTGGAGCCAAGAGTGGGTGGAGCCAACTCCCCTTCCCTCCCTTTTGGCCACTATTTTCTCTCTCTCTCCTTCTGTTACCTCATTTCCCACTGGATTGTTCCCCTTTCCCCAACTTGTATGAAATTAGATCAAGGACCACATGATGCCTATCCTTGGTGTGAGGGCAATGGGGAACAATCTGCATGGTTGAAAATACTTATTTGCATTGATTTGAATCTGGCTTATACACATAATTGTGATCTGGATTGTACTCGATGCAAAACTAAACTCATTTCAGAGAGATAGAGAAAGAGAATATTTCCTAATGGCTCTTTGGAACCTTATCAGTGTTATATACACTGTACATATATAGTAGATCAAATTTTACACTTTCTCTAGATTCATCATTAAAATACAATTCTTAAAAATACATGTAAAGCATCTTACCCTTTTCAGACATTTTACAGATGAAATCAGTGCATGTGGGAGGGGTTATATCTCAGCGGAAGGCTCTGCCTTCCAATGTATGAGTGTTTCTTATACTATCTGAAAAGACCCCAGTGGATGCAAAGAGGGCTCTCTTATAATATCAGAGCATGCTGCTTTTCCAGAGTTGCCGAACAGATGAAGAATCCTCTGCATGTACAACTGTCTGTATGGAGGTCTTTGCAAATGGTACAATGAATGCATGAACAATGGAGGCAGAGCCTGCTGGCCTCATACATAAAATATCTGAAAAGGGCTCATTGTCTTACCCTGTGGGCTAGTTTTACATGACACAACACTGAATGCCATTTTAAGAGTTTGCTAAAACTTTCCAAGTTTCACTTCAAAAATTGGGATGTTCCATTTAACCTACAAGAAAGCTTGCTTTTTTGTAAGGTCATTTTTAACAGCTGTTAATTAAAATACAAAAGAGTAAATGAATTCTATTTCTTGGTTTCCTGTTGGTAATATGAAAATCAAATTTAAAAGTGAAGCCTTGTGCGACCTTTATTGTGCCTGTAACAAAATATAATACTTGGGATTTGAGAACAAAGCCTGGCAGATTAAAAGACACTTCACTATAAAACTGAATAATAAAAGACATAATTAAACAGGTTTAACATTGGTTTTGTAATTCATTCATAATTAAAACAATTCTGAATGTTAACAGATTTTTACTAACAACGGAGAATCTGTATGTAGAAAGAAAGCAAAGGGAAAAGGGGAAAAGGTTTTGTTGGCTTAAGACCATGATCCTCAAACAATTTCTGGGTAGTTCTAATAAGGTCAATGGAATTACTCCAGAATTGAGGCCTAGGTCTCACAAAAACAGGTGAACCTGTGTTTAGTCTCTACCACTTTAGGCTCTGAGGTGAAGGCTCATCAAGTTATGAAGATTCTCCATGAAAAATATTCACACAGAAAGAAAATTAGCATGTCATGTTGAAGGCTATGCTACCACCATTCATGCTCACATCGAGTTCGCTACATGCTGTGATTCCTCCCTCCCCATGTGCAGCAGCATGTGGTGGCTGTGTGCGCTGTGTTTCTGACTTGGTTTCCCTAAGTCATGCATCTCTACATGAGGGAGTGGCAAGGCAGTGAGGAGCAAGTGTGGTGTAAGAGCAGCAGCGAAGGAAATTCAACATACCCAGCACTGTGCCTGCACCACCCTGAGCTCTCTGCTGCCTTGCTCCCCCCCCCTCTGCTGGCTGCTACTGCCTGTATCACAGAACACTGAATTTTGTGAGCCCCAAACTGCAATTTGAGAATTACAGAATTTCCACCTCATTTGCTGTTCATGAGAGCAAGAGCTAAGTGGCTTAAGTACTATAGGCTTCAATAGCAGATGGCTTCATTATGCTTATATTTCCTTTTTAAAAACATGTTGACCTAATATGGCTATACTATTATCATTATGATAATGGGATGGAACCAAAATTAAGAATGAAGATGATTCTATGTCAAAAGGGCACAAATATGAATTTGCAACAGTACTTAAGGTGCTTTCTTTTCTAAGGAGATACAGTAGCATCTTTTTGCATTCACTTCCTTGTTGCTACACACTGATCCCTCTTTGCTTGACATTTATAGTCTAGCAAGAGGAAATTAGTTCTGATCCAGAACTTGGTAGGTTGTCATATAAAAACATCTGGAAAGAAAATGTCTATTATTATGGAGATTTGAAAATTGTATTAAATACTTAAGTGCAGCACTGTGTCATTCGTTTATTTCTGTTTCTTTTGTTTCCAGTGTCATTCAAAACACAATCAGATTATACTAGAAAAGCATCTTCATCCACCTCAGAGATTTCTGCTTGGATTATGTACTGATGCCTTGTAAAATTGAGACTTAATTCATGATCCCATGTGACCATACTCTGCTGACAACTGCCACTTGTCTCTTGAGTCAGTTCTCTTGCTTGCTGTTTGTTCTCCGAGAGACCTGTCTGATGAATGTTTCGTATACGTAGTCTCATGTACTCCTGGAAAGTGGCAAGTGCAGAAATAGGAGCCATCAAGTCGTATACTTCAATTTGCTAGTGCCAGAAGATGTAGCAACAGCAGCACCAGTAGTAGCAGCAGCAGTAACAGCGGTAGCAGCAGCTGTGGCCTGACTGCCAACATAGAGTGGGTCCAAACAGGCCACTTTGGCCGCAAAGAAGGAGTGGATACAATGCAGGACTGCAAACAGGTTGGAAAATTCCAACTCCTGAAAGTGAAAGCAAAGAAGTCAAAGGTAAGATAGGCCACCTTTTCATCTTCCACAGCACACCCAGCACTCTGTTGTAGAGACAATCCAACAGAGGTTTAACCAAGTCAAGGATGGTCATCCATCACTGCGGAAACCTGCAGCATTTGTTGGCCAATGAAGAAACACCTTCTTTGGATAACATGCACTCAAATATTTGAGTGGAATGCTACAGCAATTTTATATTGGATGTTTGTGACAATGAATGCTAGAAACTGAGCCATGACTTAACATGGAAAAGAAAATTTGTTGAAGAACTAGAAAGAAGAAAGTTAAATTCACTGTTTCTTTATTTCTACAATCCATGGGCTAACTCATCCCCCTGCCCCCTCTGGTAGGTAGAGAAGGATAAAAGGAAGTGGAAACCACTCAATGGGCTTGAACTGGCCACAACATTATTGAAAGAACATGAAAAATGGGCATGTGGGGTGGGAATTAAGCTATTATGAGGAAAATCAGGCATAAGAAGGTTCCTAAGCTGAGCTACTTGTATCCCTCTGCTCCTTGTATCCCACTGCTCCTTGTACACTGCTCCTTGTATCCCACCTTTATCCTGAATCATAGCCCATTCTCAAGCTGCTCCATTCTTGTGACCATTCTGCTTTTTCCCATTGCAGTCAACATTAACTTTTTGCTCTCCCAACACAGGTGACATTTTCCAGTTCTACACTGGTCCTTGTGCCATCTGGAGCGATCAACCTACCTTGGATCCTTTCCTCTTTACACAGGTAAGCATAAGGTCTTAATATTTCTTACCACATTCCCATGATAAAGCTTGCAGCCTCCTCCCACTAACTAAGCAAATCCCATTTTCCCTAAAGAGGTGGGACCTTCTTTTTGCAATGCTGAGTTTCCTAATAACCATGCCGAGCCACAATCTTGCTCACAGCTGTTATCCTTTCTTCTGGTTCTGTCTGTCCCAGCGGGGATCAAAGCCCCTGACCAAACCCTCCTGGGCAGCATTGGCAGCCATGTTACTTCACCCCTTGGGAAGAATTGCCTAATGGTGCCCATTCCATTTGTGACCTTGATGGTCAAAAAGCTTGTAGAGGACATTCTGAATAAGGATGATTACTAGAACCTGGGGATGCTGCTTATCTCTTCCCACAGAGATGGAAAGCCACATTCAGTGGATGGCATCTAAGTCATACACAGAATTGGAACCACTGCAATGGAACTGACTAACCTAAGCTTATTGATTTAAATCACTTTAAGTTTAATATGACTTAGTTGGATACAAACCAGTGTTTTGAGATTTCTACCATCCTAGTTCAAAATGTTCTAACTGTTAAGCCATGTTTTATGACATGGTAGGCTACTATTTTCAGAATAAAAATATCCTGCTGCATGTATACTATATCCACTAACTACAGTTTAGCATGTGCCAGGTTCATGATGATTCCCTGCAAATTACGTTAACTTCATGTTACAAGTTAGGAAAATTAAAGTGGTTAGACGCTTTTCATGAAGTTCCCTGTTGAGTTATGTAAGAATAAGTGAGTTCATCCATCTTCCTGGATATGCAAGCAGTAGACTGAAACAAAAGAGAAAGGGAGGTTTTCTTCCTGCTCTGAGCAGAGCCAATAGAAACTAGAATATTGCTGTACCTACATTTCTCAACCTGCCTTGAGGTCTAAAAAGGGAGAAAGGCATTAGCTTTTCTTAAAGGGGCAGAATTATTCCTTCTACCTAATACTAATACCCAAGTTTGCTATCACTAAATAACTGGCCTTTGTGGGGGCAGAACAATGCTAATACTTAGGCTTACAACATACTTTGGTTGTTAATCTGTTAATCTAGTATAGTCTGGTACCTTTTCACAAATTATGACACTGAATATTATTACTACAACTATGAGCAACGTATGATTTGGGTTGCATCTGACTGAAGTCATATTGAATACTGGACCCCTTAAAATCAATGGATAGTACTATTATCCACACTTAGCACTGGAGACACAGATGCCAGCCTATGTAAAGGCCATCTAACCATGGCTGGGCAAGATTTGAGCCAGAAACTCACATGTGACACTCTCAGTCATTGCACCACACTGGATTTCAGCATTAATAGCTACTAGAATCTGTCAGGAAATTGTGATCATGTCACAGTTCTATTACTTTCCCCATATTTTCCAGCATTGGCAAGAGATCACTGTGGGATGGGCTGAGGATATCATCAATATGCTGATGGCGTAAAACAGATCAAGGTGAACCGTTTTTCAAAACTTGCTTTTGACTATGACTATTATTGATAATGGTAATGTATATTTTATGGGGCGGGGTTGTAAACCCCTTAGAGCAGAGGTAGTCATCCTTTTTATACCTACTGCCCACTAATGCATCTTTCTTGATGGTAAAATTTCCTTACCGCCCACCAGTGCTCAATGGAAAGAGGATTCAGCTTGTGCCATAGAACCCCCTACCGCCCACCTAGAATCCTGAAATGCCCATTAGTGGGTGGTAGGGACCAGGTTGACAACCCCTGCCTTAGAGGTTCTATTTATAGTTAATTGGTATACAATTTTTGTTAAATAAAATAACATTGGGGGGGATGTTACTCTATGTTTGGAATTAACAGAGTGATGGATGAGTGACATAAATGGATTGGTCTAACCTTTGCCTAGAATTTTATAACTAAAAGTAATGGGAAACTCACAAAGACTTAACAAAACATGATGATATTCCCTCTCCACAATGCTGGCATCATTTAAGTTGTTACATCTTCTGTGAACCCAGGAACTAAACAGAAATATCCTATTCACGGCCTAGGACCTTCATACCTACGGGACTGCCACTCCCAGTATGCCCCACAGAGGACCTTAAGGCCCGTAAATAGCAACACCCTAGAGGTCCCGGGAAGTTAGGCTAGCCTCAACCAGAGCCAGGGCCTTTTCAACACTGGCTCCGACCTGGTGGAACGCTCTGTCTCATGAGAGCAGGGCCCTGCAAGATCTCATCTCTTTCTGCAGGACCTGTAAGACAGAGTTGTTCCACCTGGCCTTTGGCTTGGAGTCAATTTGATTCCCTCCCCCTCTTTCTTTTTTCCTCTCTCCTCCCGTGATGAGGCTGCATTTTAATGTTTTAATGTTTTAAAGTTGTATTTTAATGTCATTTTAAAGTTGTATTTCAATCAATTTGTTTTTATTATTGCTTGTTAGCTGCCCTGAGCCCAGCCTTGGCTGGGGAGGGCAGGGTATAAATAAAATTTATTATTAGCTAAATGTGGAAACAGCAAAGAGGATGTGAACTTAAAGGATGTGTTCTCTGGGATGCTTTCTGCATTAAATATAAAGCACAGTGTCCCCAAAACAAATACAATTTTAAAAGGCTGAGTTTGAGCTTTCAAAAACAGCATTATAGAAAGCTATCCTTTTTCAAAAAAATCTTTACAATCAAAGGGCGAGGAATACACACTAAGCAATGAAGCATGGTGCTGCTGTATTTCTATAATGCACTTGGTAATTCGTAATTAAGGCTGCATTGTAAACAATGCCAAAATTTGGCTAGCTTTCCACCATAAATAGTAGACTAATGAGTCTGACATTCTCAAGGAGCATTTCACATTTCTTCCTGATTTTTACTAATGTGTGCTTTGAATATACTGGATTGTAGCACTAAGTTAAAGTCACTTAATGGTACAATTGATCTGCAGGCAACTTGATTGCACAATAGATTAGGAGGGGCAGTGGCAGGAGAGGCTGTGCCCATTCCACCTTTAGCTTATTTAAGGAGGTGGCCAGGTGCAGGCTGCCCTATTTTCTGACCATCACAGGATTTTTCACCCACCCCAGTATGTTGGTGGTCTGCCCAGTGGGGAAGCAGACGTGTGGCATACGGTCTTTGCTATGCTTTGCAAGCAATTTGGCATGTTTCCACCTACCTCACAGTAACTGTTACAACTTTGGGGGATAAGGCATTGGGCTGGAGCATACACTGCTAAAGGGGTCTGGGAGGGGTGACTCTGTCCAGGAATCCACACGGGGACTGATGGGCCAATACACTCTCCAAATGGCAGCCTGTGCGGGGTTGTGGCACAGTACAGTGTCAAACCTACTAGGTTCCTGTCAGATAGTAGGTGTGTTGCCTGATGCTGGATACATGCCCAATGCCTAAGCCAAACCTACCCTTTCCTGTAATCAATAAAGTTGTGGCCTAATTCAACCCAATACCAGTCTCCTGTGCTCATTCTTTCAGCCTTCCCTGTAACAGCTGAGGACATCATGTGCCTATGGCGGCAATCCTCTGTTGTGCAGCAGTAAATCTCACATTTCCAAAAACCTGCATGAGAACCAAACACATGGAATTTAATCTGGAATAAACTCCTCTCTGAATTCTTTTATGAAATGTATCACAGCAAAACAAGTTTATTATTGTCTGGCAATTCCCAATGAGCCAAGATTTTTTCCTTAGAACTGTACCTGAGCAAGACTTCCTCTATCACTGAAGATTATAAAACTAGATTTAGTGTTATTTTATGTTCAGTTTGTAACTAAAGTTTTATGTCCAAGCGGGCAAACATGACTGACTGGTCAAATGTGCAGGCAGCTGCTTTAATAGCATGGGCTTCTCACTTGTCAGGATCTATATATATTTTCCCCCTGTCAGAACTTACCTCAAAATGGAGAAAGATTGCTAGACATACCCAGGTTAATGTTAAAGCTACTGGCCAATAAAATATTCTGTCAGTGACTGCACATCAACCCGCATTTGAATTCTCTGTTCTTGATTAAACATATAGGTATAAGTGCAGGTGAACGGGAATTTGCTTTTTTATGAAGTAAAGTCTGACAGAAAATGTAAAATTCTCTGGCATGCTGCTCTATGCAATCTTGAGACACATGCTCAAACACTTTTACAGAGAACAGGCTTTCACAGCAGTACTTATGCAGGAACAAGATACCACATGTAATAATTTATCCTCTACTCACATGCTATGAGGAGGCACTAAAAAAGAACATATGGTCGCTGTCCATTGCCCCATTTTCTTCCCTGTAGATAAGCTGTCCTGGCATCAGATGTCTCTCACTTTGAGGGTTTGCAAGTTATAACAGAAGCATAAAGCAGGAAGCTGCTTCTTCATAACATGCAAACGTCTAGGACTCAGACCAGTGCCAAACAATTCAAAGGGTTGGTGCTGACCTTCAAAGGCCTTGTATACCTGAAGGAGTGCTGCCACCCCCATTGTTCAGCCCGGACACTGAGGTCCAGCCCCGAGGGCCTTCTGGTGGTTCCCTCATTGTGAGAAGTGAGGTTACAGGGAACCAGGCAGAGGGCCTTCTCAGCAGTGCCGCCCTCCCTGTGGAACGCCGTCCCATCAGATGTCAAGAAAAAAAATAACTATACAACTTTTAGAAGACCTCTGAAGGCAGACCTGTATTGGGAAGTTTTAAATGTTTGATGTTTTTATATGTGTTGCAAGCTGCCCAGAGTGGCTGGAGCAGCCCAGCCAGATGGGTTGTGTATAAATAATAAAATTATTATTATTAAATAGTCTTCATTCCTTCTGTTGTATATAACTCTATAATGTATATCTACAACACATAGACAAATCCACTAGCAGTCTTCCCCACACACCATAACTGTTGTTACAGCAACGCTTTCTGACAAAGATTAGGAATCAGAGGGAAGAAAGGTGTACACATTCTGTCTCAGCACAGTCTGCTGTTACCAGGTGGCTGAGAAGCAGGAATGGCATCAGCTACCTGAAGTAAGTATGTAGCATAATTTCACCTGGGTAGTTTAGTATTCATAGCATATGCTACGCTCTGCCAATCCACAAAGTTGAAATGCATACCTAATAAATATCTGTAGCACCCTTTATCACAACGTATTGTTATGCGTTTGGGGAAGGGGCAGACTCTCCATAATCTCTAGACCCAGTAAAGAGCTGGAATTTGAGCAAGCTCATGAATTCATGAGGTAAGAAAAGTTTGGTTAATTAAAAGCCAAATGCTGTTGCATTCAGTTTAAGATCACAAGCCAAGGCAGCTTCACATAGCTAGCCAGAGATAAGCCAAGCTGTTAACATGTTGATGGCCCATGATGGCATCCATCTCTCTCAAGAGACAATGGAGCACACCCCATGGGGCTGCTATGTTAGGAGCACTCAAGTGACTTCCCCAGAGTACAAGTAGTGTGTATAGTTACAGCAACTGCCTTTTTGTATTTGTATTAAAACATAGATAATACCTTAACTAACTGGACTAGCTACTGAGGGGCAGACTTCTACACTGAAGGAACTGTCCTCTCAATGTCCAATTCCCTACTGAATGAAGACTACAATGCATCAACCTAGTTATCGGCTTGGCTTGGCTTTGCATGCAGCTCTGCCTGATTTTTAGTTTACTTTTTTCTAGTTCTCAGACAAATAGCAACAGAACTGAGTGTTCATCTTGTTATTTAAGCATCAGTACATGAGCCTCAAATTTTGTTGTCTTCCCTGCCCCTGATTACTTGATCTAATATCCTTCAGACAAGGAAAACATATTGGAGTTCTTGCTTTTACCTTTGCTTCAATCTGTTTAGTATCTGGATTTTGGAACAAGAATTTGATTTTGCTCTTGCCATCATCTGAAGACCCTTTAAGCTGGGAAAACTTGTACCGCCATAGTACAGCCTAAAAAAAAAGGGGGGGGGAGAAGAAGAAGAAGAAGGGGGAAAAACATACACAGGAATATCAGCCAACAAAATATAAGCAGAGAAAAAGTCCTTCTAGGGAACTTTATAACGTACCAATGATAATAAAATTAAACAAGAGCAGTGTTCTCTGCTCCGAAGTCTCTTTGATCATAAAACTGCATCACATTTTGACAGTGTCTGGTTCAGAGCAGTCAGGCTGCATTTGTGAAATGTTCGTTGAAATCCTTTTAGTTTCGCCTGACCCTGGTTAACAGCAAAAGATAGAAGTAAAGTGAAGACCCCAATTTACACTATGTCAAAGATGTGTTAAATAAGCCAGACTTTATCTCCTGTCCTGAGCACCTATTTATTGCAGATTAACTCATTTTCCTAGTGCAAAGTTAGTGTTCTGATAACTTCCATTTCAATAAAACTGCCCAAATGGGCTGATGAATGTTATGTAATGGAGCAGGGTTTCCATATGGCTTCCTACCTGAGGGGGAAAACATAGGACTATCATCTTGTGCTTTAGAACTTCCTTCTACCCATCATGATCAAACTATATCTGTTTGCCCATTTCTAGGTGAGACAAATACACCAATCAGATTGCCACACATGGGACTTTGGCTTCATTCAGCTCTTGTGAAAGCAAAGAAACCATCTGTAATTCCAAAACTGTAACCTGGGGCAATGGATCCAACTGCCTTTAGAGAAATTGTTCCCCAAAGAATGATGAAATATTACAAACTCTACCTATCAAGGGACACGGGTGGTGCTGTGGGTTAAACCACAGAGCCTAGGACTTGCGGATCGGAAGGTCAGCGGTTCGAATGCCCACAACGGGGTGAGCTCCCATTGCTCGGTCCCTGCTCCTGCCAACCTAGCAGTTCGAAAGCACATCAAAGTGCAAGTAGATAAATAGGTACCACTCTGGCTGGAAGGTAAATGGTGTTTCCATACAGACATAAAAAATAGGGTAGGCTCTAAAAATACACATCTCAAGTCTCAAAGGCCAGGGGAAAGAGGTAGCCCTTCAGCATTGACTGAATACGGGATGTGAATAAATGGTCTTCTTTAAGTTTTCGAGATGTAAACATGGGCAGCTATATGTAAGCCTTATGACAATATTCAAATTTCTGGCAAAGTGGCAGGTCTGTGGGAGTACTTATTCAGCTGCATGCCTCAGCATCATGTACACTTGGTACAATAGTGGAGCATCCAAGCTTTTTGAAGCAGTCTTAGCATTCCATTCTAGGTGTCAGGATTCCCTCACACAGGTTCACTCAGTTCTTAAAACAACAGTTTAATACTAAATGTTAGAACATATTATAATGTAAGATACAATGAGCACATTGGGATCTCTGGGCTGGGGAGCTCAAGTTCATAAATGCAAATTTATAGCCAAAAGTTATAAAGTTTCCAATAGCCAGTATAAGTTTGGCTTTCCAAAAGTAATAGGTATTGCTGCTCAGCATCAGATAAAGACAAGTTTTAGGGTTTTAAGCCCTCAGTGTAATTTTTTTTGTATTTTCACATGCTGGTTTTATAATGGTGGACAATTTTATAATTGTTTGTATTGTAGTTCTTTTTTTACTTTAATTGAAGCCTCCCTGAAAATACAGTTGTATTTAAGCTGCAGGGTTTACATTTAGCAAACAAATTAGAAGATCCCCCCCCACACACACACACATTAATGTGGAAAATACTAATAGAGATAATGCTCTGTAATCCTTATTTCCTCCAGGTCATTATTAACCCCAAAGTGAAGAAGCAGATACTGAGGGTGAGATATTTAACTTGGGTATAAAATTGCTATGCTGAGACAGGCCATCTGGTCCATCATTCTGTCTCTAGCTATGGACAAATGCCTAAGGGAAGCTTACAAGAAGGGCAAGATGGTGACAACCGTGTTAATCTGAAGAAATAAACATCCACTGATTGATCTTTGAAAACTAATCTAGCATTCTGGGCCATAACTGCAATCAATTTCAGTGGGTTAAATTAAGCATTTTAACCAGTCATCTCCAGCCTTTCATTTGCTTTACCCCTGCCTCTAGACTACCGATAAACTTCATTTCAGCAATGACACATTGTGCAACTTCCCATTCTCAGATTTTAACAGAAGAACAAAAACGGTTCCAACTAAATGCCTGGGATATAGAGCAAAGTCTTGAAAAGATTGCAATGTTGGCACTAGGTATGGCTCCTTAGAGAGGGATTCCAAAGTCGAAAAGCCACAACAGCTTCTTTGCAGCTGTGTATTATATCTCTGTTCAATAAATTTCTTGCATATGGACCTCTACAGAAGATTTTTAGACACAATAAGATTGCTATAAGAAGACTAAGCTTATTAATCAGGGCTGGGTGGGAAATCTCTGTCCTGTGGGCCTAATTAGGCTCAGTATGAGTCCCAATTTAGACTGTAATGCTGCTTTCTCTAAACCATGACCACTTGCCCCACACCTGATAGTCTCATTTGTTGATGCACTTTCATTACCCTTTGAAGGCACTTGATGCAAGATCCTAATTGTCCATTTGCAGATGCTGTTTGGGCACAGGACACCTGCACAACATTGTAGCAAGGATCAGGGACTTAGAAGGACTATAGTGATGGGGGGGGGGAGCTAAAGCAAGGGGAGAGGGTTTGCCTGGTGCCTGCCTTCACATCTTCACATCCAGCAGAGACCTTTTTGTTTTCCTAGACCTGCTTTAGCTTCTCAGTTGGCCTTCATATCTATCAAATGATTTCTTGCTGCTTTTATCTAGCTATCATTATTATTTCTGCTATTGCCTGCTGGTTTTTTAAAACATTTTTTTTTTTTTTGGTATTCTCTTTGCATAAGCTGCCCTGGAAGATTTGTTGAAAGGAGGGTTACAAATGCACATGTTCAGAAGGTCAAAAGTGAGCAGGAAAAAAACCAAAGCACAAAACCGCTACAAACCATGCAATGGCGGCCTTCCAGGCACCAGCAAACAAAATGTACAGTAGTTGCAAGAAAAAGTTAATAAGCACCCTCCCTCTCTAACTCTTCTGTGGTCTTTTGATCATCACAAAACTTCTCATTTTCCAGTCCAAATTCCAGGATAATGCAGTATTTCAAGAACTGCTTCTCAGCAAAATGAAAATAATGGGAACTATCAATGTGCACTTGCTAGGAAACATTATTAATTTGACATTTCATGCTACAACTGGCTGAACATATTTTACCCTATGTCAGGAAACCTGAACTTCCTACCTAATTTGTTGATTCTCACAGGCCTGGTGTGAAATGGTTTAGCATTAACTGCCTGAGCTCTGGACTTGTGTGCTCCTCATTTCCTCTTCTCGTATGGCTGCAAGGAGGAAATTGGAAACTTTGGTTTCCATTCTGATTTACCCACAGTGTATTGTTACATCCAAACTTTAAAGAGGTTCATCTGAACCGTAATGTAGAGTTGGGGTGGCCAACCTGTAGCTCTGTAGTTGTTGTTGCACTACAACTCCCACCAGATCCAGATACCGCGGACAAGGCTGATGGGAGTTGTAGTTCAACAGCATCTGGGGGGCTACAGGCTTAGGAAAACAAACCAACTTCCTAAACCATGGTTTTGTTGGGATTTGGTTAGTTAAACTCTGGTTAGTTAAAAATGGAAGTGAAAACTACTGCTCTCCTTATGCCTGCACTAGAGGAAAACAGAGGGCAGGGTGGCTAATGAAGCCCAGGCTCATTCCTGCAACACTCAATTATAGTTTTACATTACATCCAAATGAAGCCGACATTGCTCTTGTTAGAAACATCTGTTCCTCTTGATTTTATTAGAGGATACATCTAATTGGGAAAGAAAACCCTCTAAAAGCATCACATTCTTATTGCTCTTGACATTGTATCATGCAAACACACTGTTCCAAGATGGGCTTAATACATCCTTCCTTGAATTCACTTTTGTTACAAAGCTTTGCTACTTAGCAGAGCTTGGAATTGGCACTCTGGGAAATAGGCAGTGTATCAGCCATCCCATCATGCCAGCTCGTTCCGACCAAAATGAAAGCTACCCTCAAGTGTGCCAGGTGCTGGGTTTGGAGTGGTGAAGAATCCTGATTACTTCTTAGGCACTTGCTTTTCCCCCTTGTTTGGCACAAGTGATTTAATTTTAATTGGAAGCTGCAGGGTTAGCTTCATTGCCAGCTAATAATGACCCGATTTCAGAAAACATGGAAGCTGCTAAAGCCATCTGGCTTTGTGGGTTGAGGAATTTCAAAACCAAGAATATCCCTGTTGGATAACACCAAGGATCCATTGAGTCCAGCATCCTGCTTCTAGAAGTGACCAGCCGGATGCTTTTGGGAATTCTACAAGTATGTCAAGAAGGCATCTGTCCTCTTGTTTGCCCCACAACAAATAATATGCTGAGACAAGCTGCCTCTGAATTTGAAGTTACCATTTAGCTGCCATGGTTAATAGTCACCCATAGGCATATCCTCTGTGAATTAATTTTTATTACCCTCTGAAGCCCCCTGTCTTACATCTAGTGGCAGCAACTTCCATTCAGTTAACTATGTGATATGAAAAGGACTTTCTTTTGTTTGTCTTTTGTGGTAGAGAATTAAGTTTGCCTGCAGAAGGTCATGGGTTCAATCTCTGGCAACTCTGGCTGGAGAAGATTGCCTGCCTGAAACCCTGGACAGCCACTGCCAATCAGTGTCAAGATTACTAAGCAAAATGGACCAATCATCTGGCTTGATATAAGGTAGCCTTTTATGTTTATGGGGAAGGGCTACAACTCAGTGGTACAGCATCTGGTTTGCATGAAGGTAGTCCAAGGTTTAATTGGCTGCATCTCCAGTTAGGAATGAAAATATCCCCCATCAGAAACCCTGGAGATCTGCTGCTTTATCAGTGCAGTGGTCTGATTTGAAATAAGGCAGCTTCTAGTATTTCTATTAATGACCACAAATTCCAGTGTTTCAGTCACCTTTTTCATACCAAGCATAATTTATGCATAGTTATACTCAGGCTAAAGGGGTGGGGAGCGTTACATAAATATTTCCTAGTTTGGTGAAAGTGCTAATGAAACCCTAACAATACATGCTATACTGCAAAGCCATGATACTGGATTCCAATAAAGACTGGAGGGAGTTGATTGTTCTTTTGGACAGAAAATTACAATATGGGAACTGAAACAACGACTGAACTACCATCAGTATAATGATAATGACACATTTCCATTTTCTGAACACAAAGTGGTAGGTGACAGTCTTGAACTGGCATATGGTACCAGGGAAGAATTGGTGGGGGGTGAACAACTTGATACTTCATCCAGATAAGATGGAAATGCTGTTAAAGGCTCTATGAATTTGAAGATGAGTATCCAATCTCTTCTGGATGAAGATGCTTTTTCTTCCAAGGTATGTACAGCTGGATATGCTCCTGGATTCAGCCTGCACTTTTTAACCAGCTTTGGCTTGTTTGCCTGCCTGAGCCACAGGAATTGATCCTGGCCTCTGTATTCAATCCATAACAAATCTAAAGGATGCTTAGTAAAGAATAATTAATTTGTGCTTCGTGTAATTTTAATATTTGTATGCTTTGTGTTTACACTTCTTGCTAGCTACTTTAGATGTTGTTTGCTATAGAAAAGTGAAGTAATAATAATCAAGAGCTACAAAGGCTTTGAAACCCAAAGGCCATCACTCATCACCCCAACCCCCCAGTTTTTGATGAGTGGCAGGAGAGATAAAAGGGTAAGGATCTCAAGTTTGAATTATTCAGCTTTACTGGCATCAGAAAAGGAAAAGCAGCAGTAGGATTTTGTCTTCACTCATGAATTTCAAAGATAACGAAAAGGCTTTTTGAGTTTCTCAAAAAAATAAAAATACCAGGGTAGATTATGATATGCTGTTACGAGTGTTGCTGCCACAAGTAATAAATTGTAAAGGTCAATAATATTGGGTAGCAGTAGCTTTCTACTGAAAAATACCATTGCTGTGAGGTAGGAACCTTCATAGTACAAGCTCCCATGTGATCTGGAACCCTGAGCAATCAGTTCCTCTTGTATTATTGTTAGCAGGGAACAGAATGTCAGAATAAAGCTGTTGAATTCCTATGCTTGTGTCACCAACCTCAAGGAAGCTTCCTAATTGGACCAAAATCTTGGGCTTAGTCCCTTTATCTGCTTTCTGTGGGCAAGCCTTCTCCTACAATTCATGTGGCTGGTGACAGCCCCCACCTCACCATGTCCTCAAGAAATGGATTCACTCAGTTGAGCCAGAGGCTCTCTCAAAGTTTGGTGAGAAAAGCTCAGAGATCTTAAAACCCTTCTGGTATTTTCTTGTGGGCCAGATCAGGGACTTTTCAACACCGCTGAGCAGTGATTTGTGTACTGATATGTATGATACATGCAGAAACTCTCACAATTTTCCTGCACATTGCTTAGCTGATCAATAAAGGCCCTGATTGACCAGAAGTGCAATTTTTGACATGAAAATTGAAGCTGTCAGAAATTTGGTCCAGCTCTTAATAATAAAAACACAGTAATGTGCACAAAGAGAATATGGATGGGGGTATGTGATAGGTTCCAAACCAAATTTATTCTTCTCGTCAAGTAAATACCTTGGGAAAATAATCTGCAGTGTTCTTTGAGGAGGCTTAGGGTATATTTTGGCAGTGGGGTGGTGGGAGAAATCAATGGAAAGGCACCCACTGACTTCAGTGAAGTATAGATCAGGCTTGTGGTAATCATGATAATGTAAAAGCTGATAGTATGTCAGTGGCCTGTCAAAGCAAATTACTTGCTTCAGGTGAATGAGCAAAGTAGGATTTTATAAGGCTAGAGAAAATATTACAAGGACTGAGGCTGATTCTAATGGTTTCTGTCTGGAAGGCAGCTGACATTTCTCTTATTCTGACACTGTTGCCAGCTGGATATGTTGATTAAGATATCTGTGTGTGGTTTCTTCTGTTCTGAAAATATAAATCCGAAGCCATAACTATGTTAATAGTTTTGTTAGTGCAGTTTCCTATCTGATGGATTCTATCAGAGGAAACGGTGTTGAAAGAGATTTTAGAGGAAAGTAGCACCATGGAAGAAGAAAAACAAACTGCGCTTTGTTTTTCATGACTCTCATAGAGAAAGTACAATCTTGACATTTGACCAATGTGGATTGTGATTTTTCTATTAACATCTAGATAATAAAACAATCACCCTGATCCAGAGAAAACAATCTGCAAGTAGAAACCTATTTCACTCCATATCATTTGTTGTGAGCGGGAGTAGGAAACAGAAGCTGGCACAGGCACCTTTTTTTTTTGGAATGCATTATAGGTTATCAGCACTGTCAGAGCTCTTACTATGGCGGGGGAAATGTCAGGAACACAACCAAAACCCCATTCTCTGCTTCTGGCTCCCTCAATCAGGGCCACGGAATGAAGGGCTATGATTCAAAAGCATATTGTCTGCATGCTAAAAGCTTCAGTCCCTTTTCTCGTTTGTTTAAGAAATTTGTAGCAATGGGGAAGTTTGCACGGATTACATTTATAATTAGGCTTGTCAAAATGAGTTTCTCCCCTTCCTCCTTGAGACTGGAAAATTGGCTGAGTTTATTCTGAAGCAGTTAAAAGCAAGAATAGACTCTGTCATTCTCCCAATGGCATCAGTGTGAGTGCAGTGCTTAATGCTGCTCACCCCCTCCCCACTTCTCATAAGCACCCGAATCCCCTTGCCCAGTGGCAGCACTTTCTGCTCTTGTGGTAACAGTATGAAGGGTTTATATTTCCCCAAGCTCCTGGCATCAGGATTGCTGCTGTAGGAAGGAGGGTGAGGCAAGGAAAGATGTCTCCATACATTCTCTGCCACCAGAGCAGCAGAACCTGCTACCAGGTAAGAGAGATTAGGTAAAGAAGGAATTCATCTCTGAACTGAATTAGAAAAAAAACTATGCAATGCTTCTCTTCAAATGGAATGCCATACTGAATGCCAAACTTCATGTGAACTTTGGCCATATCTCTAGAAGTTTGTCCCTTTTTAGAGCTTGTGAATTGTGTGCTTTATGATGTTCATGGAGAAGGGGGAGAGAAAAGGAAAGGAGATGGAACAAGTAGAAGAGCAGGGGCTGTAGAAAAGGATCAAGTCATGCATTCCATCTCAAGAGCATTCTACAGAAATAAGTCCTGCAGAAACTATTTTTAAAAAGCATATTGAGAATGTGATAGGATAAAATTATTATTTATTAAATGTCTATACTACCCTTCAGCTGAGGATCACAGTGTGCTTTACAATATAAAAACAAAAAAATACATACCATAGTAACAAATAAAAACAATACCCCCAAGTTTTAAATGCCATAGATTGTTAAATTAGCCTAAAATATGGGTGAAGAGGGATGTTTTTGCCTGGCACTTAAAGATATGTAACGAATGGAGCAGGCAAGCCTCCCTGGGGAGAGCATTCCACAAGCGGGGATCCACTGCAGATAAGGCCCGTTCTCGTGTTGCCACCCTCAGGACCTCTCATGGAGAGCCTCAGATTATGATCACAGGGTCCAGGTTGGTTCATTTGGGGGGGAGGCAAATACAGCATAGCGACAGACTTCAAACAATGGCTCAACTCTCAATTGAAAAGATAATTCTTGGTAATGAATCATTAACAGCATGTAAACATCTTCTCATGGCCTTACCTTTGTTGCAGCATCAAAGCATACGAAACCCATGCCAAAGTCTATGGTAAGCCCCATAAGATGACTCTCCAGAACACAGGCATATGTCTTGCACTAAGAAAGATTGAGAAATGCAGCATGTTAGATAGCGCTTCAGTTGAGTACATGTATTTTGAAAAATTATAGCTAAGGGGAAATACCTGTTTAGTTACTAATTAGCCCTGGCAAGAACAAAATAAATCTTTGTAAATAACACAAACCCTTAGCCATTCAATCAACTGGCTATTTGCATTCCATGAAAGAGAGCTTCTACCTCTACCTACATGGAGAACACATAGGGGCTGAGTGTGCAGTGGTGGAATAGCAGGCAGAAGCGGCAGAAACAGGCAGGGGGTGGCAGGGGTGGCGGTGGCAGCAGTGCAATTCAACACTTCCCATTTTTCTTCAAGTGGTGAAGCAGGATGTGCCACCCCTGGCTACAATTTAGCATAGTAGGTAAGTAAATACAGTGGTACCTTGGTTTAAGAACAGCTTAGTTTATGAACAACTTGGATTAAGAACGCTGCAAACCTGGAAGTAGGTGTTTTGGTTTGTGAACGTTGCCTTGGAATAAGAACATGTTTCGCTTCCTGTTGAGTGTGTTCCATTTGTAAATTGAGTCCCCCGCTGCTATGGGAAAGCACACCTTGGTTTAAGAACACTTTGGTTTAAGAACGGACTTCTGGAACAGATTAAGTTTGTAAACCAAGGTACCACTGTCTTGGAATTCAACTGTCTTTGCCAATTTCTCAATGTAAATGAAGTAATTGAGAGTGAAATGCATCACCTCCTAATTTCTGATCACACATGGAATACATCTGCTCGCATATGATGGGGGACACATGCACCTTTGGTAAATAAAGAGGCACTTTTATATGCAGCTTTTATGTCCCATTACTTTAATGCAAGATAAACATATTTCATTGGAAGTGAGTATGCAAACAAAATATATAATGACTAGGTATTTGCTGTTGATGTAATGGCTCATGAAAGAAGACAAGGAATAAGAAGACTCTTAGGTTCCCTGAATTTTCCAGTGAGGCTCTCGTGAACTTCGATCTAACTATTTGATAGACCTGCATTTATCTGTTTTTATGATTTGTAATATAGTTGACACTCCCTCCAAAAAAATTCATTTTCAAATAATTTATGTCAGGAAATGTGTTGATAAGGGCAAACGACCAAACTTCCATTGCCAGCAAGTTGCTAATACAGCACTTCTAACATTGAAGGAAATCGGAAGAACTCCCTTTTTTTTTATGTTTCTTATCTCTCCAACCCCCCCAATGCAGTCTGACATTTTGGTTTGCATTGATAAAATGAAACTGTTCAACACTGAGTTTCAGTTTACAACAAATTACATTCTCCTACTGAGCTCCTTGTTTGATAGTTGGCTTCTGGTTCCTAATGCCAAGCTCGTACCGCTCAGCGCAAATTAGGTATTTTTCTGATCAGAACATCATTGTCAAGATGTGAAGTGCACAGCAGAGCTTGAAAAGGCCAAGCTACTCATCACAGAAGTGCTTATGAAAGATGCTACCTTTTCACATTAAAGTCAGAGACAAATCTCTTGAAATCCTTCTGAGACTGGTGAAATCCATAGTTTAGAGCTAGAAGAACAATGACTTATGGACTTTTTATACAAAATAAATGTTTAAACAGAAACTGCCAAGCAGAAATAATTTGATCGCTAATTAAGTTGTCCATTGCAAAGTGATTCCTATCAATTTAAATTCAGATTTCTGTTTTCTGCCAACAGTAGCCCCCCTCCCAAATTTCTCAAATCATATAATTCATAACTAACATGATTTCAATAAACAAACAAATAACATCAAAACCTAAAGTGGCTCACCTGTAAATGCAGTCACAGATATGGAAAAGCACCTGCACAACCTACTGGTGGAACTTTTTAGAAAGCTCTGGAAAACTGGGTATGCTGGATCCCTTCCTTTACACCCCTGCATAGTATAAATTACTGCATGGCCTTTGGGAGAAATGTCCATGGTGGCAACAATTTGTTTCCTGAGCACTTTCTGCAAGACCTCTGCAAAAAACTTTCACATTTTAATGATGTCAGCCTCTCTGAGGCATGTGAGGCAGTGACTGTGAAGATCAAGAACTTTACTCACACAGTTGCTACACTTTTTGAAGATAGCCCTACTCAGCATCAGGGCAAAATTCAAGGAGGAAAAATAAAGAGTGGAGAGGGGGAGCATAGAGCGAGAGATGTCTCTTCGTGCCACTGCTTTTTGCACAAGTGAAGAAGGGAGCCTGAAGGGCTGACTCTAGATTCTTAGCCCATACAGAGATCACAAATGAGTTCACAGGGATGAGAGGGGCAAATCCAATGCTGTCAGTCTTCCAAAGCTTCCTAGAAGGTCCCTGTGAACAGCCCAGGCACATTCCCATATTTGGAACAGAACAGAACACACCAAGAATAACCAATTAGTTGGGACACTGAGATGGGTATTCATTGCATTACTTATATGCTATACTTCCACATCTTTAAAAGTGATCATTTTGTAAACATATGCAGGTTGCAAAGTATGTGTCAGGTGTCTAATTCCCTTATCAAACCAAAAGGGTTACTAGAGCTCTTTGGAACAGCAGTGTTTTGAAACAAGTGCTACTCAATATGTACCACCTTCATGTGGTCTTTTGAGATAAGGGACAGCTTTTTCAAGCAATTCTAGGCAGCCCATGTTTAGATGTTGGCAAAGGCATAAAAATAAGACAAACTAAAGTGTGATATCTTCAGATGTTAAAGGAATTGTCCCATCTCAAATAGGTGCTGGAAAAAGGGGGAAAGGTAGGATTGAATGGAAGAACCACCACAGAAATTTGGCCTGTAGCCAGCTGAGGAGACAGGCTTTCTTGATTCTGCATTCGCCTCCAGGGGTGTTGACTTTAGATTATGACTTTATTATCTCCCATGGCAATCACAAATATTTGGTGGGAAGCAAGGAAAGTCGGGGGGGGGGAGAGATGGAATGAGAAGAGCAAGAGTCCATTCTAGAAAAGCTCTGCTAGCAAATGGATAGTATGAATCATTTCTCAGCTGCCATTGCCAGAGCAGTCCTCAAAAAGTACCATTTATAATTCAAACCACTGGGACATATTTTCTATATAGCATGGTAAACAATTGGATATAGCTCAGATGTTGGAGCCATGTGTTCCACAGGTGAATATGGCATGGCTCAACAAAGTATAAATACTGGCATGGATCTGAAGAATTGATCAATGGGATTTCACTATTTCCTGCCACAACAGGCACTTGTTCCTCCCCTCAAAAGGTAAGGCCCAGGCAGGCACAATATGTGACCCATCAGAGCAGCAAAATAACCAGACCATAGAACAGTGATGGAATAAAATCTTTATTGACAGCAACAGGCAGGGTAAGGGTTGGCATGGCATTGGGGCCTGGATCATGTAATCATTCCATGATGGAACGGGTCTCCTGGGTTTGGACCACCCCAAACCCATTTCATGGGAGTCTGCCAGTGCTGAACTTTGTGTAGTGCAAGCCAAGCAAGCAAGGTCTCACTGGGTGACCAGAGTGCAGATTCCAACCAGGCACCTCAACCCAAGCTTGGAGGTACCATGGTCAATTGTCCCCTCAGGCCCTTTATGGGCTCTCCCATCCTATGTGGATCCTGCCCAATGCCATTTCTTCCCTCAACAAACAATGTTGTTCCGCCTAACAAAGGAAGACCATAATTTCACTGGGGGAAAGGTGAGAGGGAAGTGCCAATCAGGTTGAGTGAAAAAAATTATTTCCGGCCCTGTCAACCAGCTACTCAAAATTGCTCAGTGAAGGTTCTAACCAGAGGGTGGGCGGGTGCCAAGTGGAAGGTTTTCCTCTCCCCTTTGCAAGGGCATTTTGCTGCAGTCTATGGACCCCAGCGCTGCTGGGCAAAGGCATCCCATGCTTACTGGGTGTGGAACGAGGCTTCCTGAGGTGAAACAGTATGTGAGGGACGGCTGCTAGGAATCATTGCTCCCCCCACCCCCAATATGTAGAAGCACCTTTCATATTCATGTGCAGGGAACTTTGATTCCAAGCCTCTGAATGCAATCCAGAGAAATTGAAGTCTGCCATTGGAATCAAACTTCGCATACACTGTTACACATTTGTGTATATGTGAATTGCACTCAACTAAAACAATAACAACTGCATTCCTGCATCCAGTTAATTATTATTAGTCCTATCAAAGTTGGAAAATTTAAAACAGAGTACATAGATGCAGATGCTGTCTCTCTCTCTCTCTCTCTCTCTCTCTCTCTCTCTCTTTGGTAAGATTTCCGGAAAATGTTTATTGTAAGAGAAATAAAATTAAATACTGGGCTTAAAATGATTAGCAAAAACTAGTACATAAAACATCCAGTAAAAGTAATAGGACAAAATAAATGATTTTTGATTTTGTGGGTGAAACAAATCATTCCACAGAGAAAAATAAAAAACGAAGTAATCAATGGAAAGCCTCATAAGCAGCCATATTTGTGACTCAACTGCTTGTTAAAGCTCACCAACTTCATGTAAGTTTTATTAATATTTAGTATATTATGTAGTAATAAATGTTATGGGCATAAATGTTTAATTCCATTAACTTGCAAAAAAAAACACCCACAATTGCTTCCTTTTGTCATATCTTTCAGTTATAAAAATGATTAAAACACAGAGATCATTGGGCTGGAAACAGAGCCTCATAATTCTTTTCAGTCCCTCAGATACCTTACTTAGGGTTTGGATGCTCACTGTTACACACATTCATAAATGTATCCCTATCTCAAATTTCTGGGCAAAGTAACTTCTTTATGTAAAGGACTGCAGTGGCACCTTGTGCTGAAGAAGTGATGTGGGTTACTTTAAAACACAGGTGTGAGGAACCTGTGGCCCTCTGGATGACGTTGAACTACAACTCTCATAATCCCTGACCATCAGCCATGCTGGCTGGGGCTGATGGGAGCTGCCGTTTTCAACACGTGGTGAGCCAGAGGTTCCCCACACCTGCTTTAACCTGTGTGGCAGGTAAGCACGAGGAAGTAACTTTAGACTGAAGGAAAGTTCTGTTCTAAACGCACTGGCCATCCACCTTAGTGTTCTAATTTAGCAGTTCAATACCTCTGCAAGTGCGAGATTTGCTCCATCAATCACTTCACCTAAGGATCAGTCTTCCCCTCCCCACTCCCCCAGCTACAAAGCTATGAGTAACAAGCACAACTCCTAGCAGGAAATATTGAAAGGTGAAAGATTATAACGGGCTTTGAGCAGCTGTCACAAATTGGTAAAGAGATATTAATGTGCACCACAGGTTAGAGTGGTAAAGGGTCAGTCTCTAGCCTCTCACTCTCTGGCTCCTAATCAGAGGTTTTATTTCACCTGTAGCTTTTCAGCTTACTTTAATTAATCCCCTTTGCTGTGAACTTGGAGAGAATAAATTGAAGAATGCTGCCAAGAGAGCACATAATGTCAAAGTTCGTACAGATCTAATATAAACCGTTAAAACATTACACCTGCCATAAAAAGAGTGAATTATTTGCTTTTGATTATTGATTTCACACGCTGAAAAAGATGGGGGAAAAACCTATTCGGAATGAAAGTTTCCCATATAAGAGGCAACTCAATATTTAATCTACCATGTGCAAAAAGTACAGAATCTTAAAACTGGGTCTGTGAATAATTCAGTTGCCCTAGTTCAGGAGCAGAGACTGAAGCATTATGTTCCTCAGGCCCCCAAACCTGAAGTATACTATAGCTTAGTAGGAGATGTTTAAAGTGGGAGAGAATGCAATGGAGGAAAAAGCTCATCCAAGCCCATTTCTAAAATGGAAAAGGTTCAGAGACTCTTGGCTACTAAGTTCATGTCAGAATTCCAGTTTTCAAAAATCAGTGTTGGAACAAAATCATAAATGTAAGTTCGAATTATTAAAAAGTTCATAAAGGTACAAATTAGGATAAACTAGTCATGCTAGCCACATGACCCGGAAGCTGTACGCTGGCTCCCTCGGCCAATAAAGCGAGATGAGCGCCACAACCCCAGAGTTGGCCACGACTGGACCTAATGGTCAGGGGTCCCTTTACCTTAATAGTTGTACATTATGACTATGATTTAAACAAAGCTGTAGTGCATATCCTACTGATATCCTACTGATCTGAGTGAGATGAACTATCTGCAAATCCATTATTCAACAAGTAGAACACACCACCGCATACATTTCCTAACAAGATGCATTTTCTTTTGTAAAGGTTGCCCCATTATATTACAGAGAAGCATTCCCTGCCCTCAAGACACTAGGTGATTTCCCCAGGTTTCTATGTGAAAAGAAGGAGCTTTGGCACTATTCTGTATATGTAAAAACTCAAAATAGCAACCAGGTTCTGTGCCTCTGCCAAATGAATCAATCTGATTGATCTGCCAAACAGTGGCTGCATATCAACTTGAAACACATTGTAATTAATTGAAAATGGGCTAAGAGGTTTACAGGGTTAGAGGGGAGGGGAGTTGTTCATCAATCAGTATTGCAAAATCGTAATACTTGCATTAAAAGTGCATTATTTGTGATCCGTGACACTATTTGTGATCCTGGATAAGTTGGGGAGAGGGGAGAAAGCTGACTTACTAGAACAGGAATGGATGTAAACTATACCCAGGAATATAAGAGATACCCATCCAAATATCCTATGTTTTTCAAAAGGATGAAGTATAACAAAATAATAGATGTTCTATTCTTATAAATATTTACGTAACAACATAGTGACTCCCAAGTTCTCCTGCCACCCTGAAATCATCTGCACTTATAGAATCATAGACTTGTAGGGCTGGAAGGTCTAGTCCATGCATGGCAAAACTTGGCCCTCCAGTTGTTTTGGGACTACAGTTCCCATCATCCCTGACCTCTGGTCCTGTTATCTAGGGATGATAGGAGTTGTAGTCCCAAAACAGCTGGAGGGCCAAGTTTGGCCATGCCTGATCTAGCCCAACCCCTGCAATACAAGAATCTTTCCCACAGCTGTCCCTGAGTGGACTCAAACCAAGAACATTCTGGTTGACAGTGAGATGTATGTTACCAAGTCCTGGTCTCTCCTTTACCATACCATAAAATTCCAATTTCTCGTTGTCTTCTTGAATAAATTCTACCATGAGATCAGAACCGCTATGCTGATAGTGACTAGCCCAAGGCCATGTAACAAGCTTCATGGATAATCTGGGCCCAAGTTTCCCAGATTCAAGCTTCTAGCCCACTATTGGGATGCACCCTACTGCCACACCATTGTTTATCCTTATCTCATAAGCCGATCTTTTTCATTTTCTAAGTGAAAGCTAAGAAAATAAGCAAAATAACAGAAGCCTACAACTCAATGCTTCTAGCTGCTGAACCACCATTTTGGTTTGGCCAAGAACATATCAAACAACCATTAGTACTTTCAGTGTTTGGGTTTCAAAAACTAAAAGTGTATACAGAACCCTATCTTGTTTTGCTTTTAAATGAGATTTTTTCCCCTTTGTAGTATATCATTAACTCTTTTTCCCATTAAATATTCCAAACCTCCCCCCTCCCACCCCCAAAAGCCTTTGGTAATAACTATCACTATCACCAGTGCTTTAAAAAAAAATAATGTTTAGGGTTCTCATTTTCCTACTCATATTGAAATACTGCCCCTCAATGAGACCAAACTAAGATTCACAAAATGTTTAGGGGTATGCGTACCCATGCGTACCCCCAGAAAAAAGCACTGACTATCACATAAAATGTATTGCATAATAATAACCAAAAATGAATTTGACACCGCATGTTTCTTACCTGTATTCGTTCCACTTCTAAAAAAGTTGCTGATTGGAAGGCCTTTTCCCATAATATGAGGTCACATTCTAATTCCACAGAAAAGTAGAGATCCTCTCCCGTTTCAGATTGCACACCAAAGCAGTGTTTTCGACGATCCAGTAGATCACTGTCCTGATGAAAACCTGGAGTTATATAATCTTGCATACATCAATTAATATTTCTTACAGTACAGACCCACATGTTAGATGCAGAACAAAGTGCCATGTAATTTTTATTCAGCCCACATTAGTCTCAGCATTTAAATGGATTTGAAATAAAAGAATGTTTTAGAGTTTTCACGCCAAGTAGCAGAGGACAGTTTGGCTACAAGGATTCACAGGTGCCAGTGTCCAATCTCTGAATAGTTCCCAAAGTCACCAGTCATAAAATGCCTCAGAAGTGTGTCATATATTTTGTGTATTCATGCACAGAAATATACATCAACAATTTCTTTACTGCTGAAAAACAATTTCTTTTTGGCAAGGCTTCGGATAAAGAAAATAAACCAAATGCATTCAAACAGTTCTCAAATTATTGGACTTTTCTGCTTTTCCTTTAGCAGTGAATGTATGTTATCTGTCATAAGGGCTGCCCGTCAGAGGTTTTGAGGCATCCTGCCTGAGGAATCTAGGCCCTCCAAACAGTCTTAGGCTATTTTCCACAAGTGGTGGTGTAATTAGTTTTGTTGCTGTTGTTGTTGTAGTTGCAATTTGCTGGTTCTATAAACTAAATGAAGGAAACTGCACTGACTGGCATGCACATATAACTAAGAGTGCTTTCCCTCCACCGTCTATGTGGAATTAACATTTACAAGTGATGCATCCAGATTTAAAGGTACTTGGGGAAATGTTGTCATTCTCTTCCACAATTGAAAAGGAGGGTATTCTCATTACTCTGATTCTTGAGCAACAACCTACGCAATTAGGGGCCTTGCCTTCAAATACAAACACACTTCAACATCTTGCTTCTTTGCATAACCCGCCACCAGGATTCTTTGCCCTCTAGACCCAATTGTACACTGAATGATTTCTTCTGAGCTGAACAACTCCATTGGGATATGTTTGCATTTCCCTGCATCTAATTTAAATCACATTTAATCCACCTGGGGATTTCACTGAGTCCTTGGAGTCTGCTTGGAGCTTTGTTCCTAAATGTAATTAGCCTTCAAACTCACTGCATGGCCTTAAGTTGCCAGTCATGGTCTCATATCAAGGGTACTGTTAAGATAATGTGTGGCTTTCTGTTCCATGGAGAAAGAGTGGGATACAAAATGTCCTATAGCTGCTGATAGTGCATAGTTAATTTTTAAAGGTTTTTTAAAATATAAAAAGAGATTAATCAATTTCATCCTATTTTCCCTTTACAGGGGTACCTCGGGTTAAGTACTTAATTCGTTCCAGAGGTCCGTTATTAACCTGAAACTGTTCTTAACCTGAAGCACCACTTTAGCTAATGGGGCCGCCTCCTCCTGCCGCGCCGCCGGAGCACGATTTCTGTTCTCATCCTGAAGCAAAGTTCTTAACCTGAGGTACTATTTCTGGGTTAGCGGAGTCTGTAACCTGAAGCACATGTAACCCGAGGTACCACTGTATACCACTGTATACTGTTATCTAGCCAATCATGGCCTGTGATGGGCAAGCCACATCTCTCTGCCTTACACCTGACATCAGAAGTTTGAAGAACGGTGTGGGCCTGTTTGCAAAAGGTCTCTCAAACAGCCCTTTGTTGTGCTTTGAAGTCCCAACAGCCAGGGCTTCAAAGTACAGAATCACCTGAAGTCATAGGGATGTCAGCTGCAGTCCTCTAGGGTGGGGAAATAAAGACCAGCCCCACAGGCCAGAAAATTTCCCCACCTCTGCTGTGGTGTAATAAAGTTTTACCAATTCACCTGTGTGGGTCAACTCAGAATAGAGACTGTGGGGGTGGGTGTACAGCAAAGACAATAATGTATTTAAGCATGTACAAAATGCCTTTTTAAAGAAACCCATCAACAATAATCAAACAGCTGAGATTGGGGGAGAGGGCACATGGTTCAGAGGCTGTGATTTTCAAGTGGGCTTGAGATTTAGGGATGCCAACATATTATGACAAGATTTCTAAATGTTTAACAGTGTCCTGATATGTACACATTTAGCAGGTGAATTTTCCCTTTCATCTCTATGGCAGATAAAGCTAATTGCATCTCTCCCCTTTAAATAAGGATATAGAGCTTTCTGTAATAAATGGGGAACAACTTTATTAAGGATGTTTGTGCCTTGCACATGTGATAAACACAGGACAATTCAGTTTAGATTTTGCTAGTGGATGGTGGAAATAGCTAGATTTTTATTTTAATTACATAATGGATGCTTGTGAAATCATCTCATTGATTTAAGCTGATATTCTACTGAGTAAATAGGTGCAGAGCTGAAACATCAGAATTTTCTGAGGTTATTAGAGGCAAAAGCAAGAAATGAAACTGACGTAAGTAATGTCAATTTCACCTCATTCATTGAGCTTTACTGAAGGGAAAGACTTGTCCTTTTCCCTCTTGCAGGCAGCGTCCAAATGCACACACCATTAAAAGCAGCAGTGAAGAAAACTGGCATCCACACACTGATGCACATTCAAGCACCCATCAAAAATGAAGAAAAGAATCTAGATGTGATGACACGCATCAATAAAAGAAAAAAAGGTTTACTTGAAATTGTAGCAACTGATAGCTGCATGAGGAAAACACATTATATAAATTTTAAATGGAAAATAACGGAAGAGAGCCTGAGCAGAACATGTAACCATGGGGGAAAGATGGAAAATGAAATGGAAAAAGCTATCAATCCCTGCTCCGTTTTCTGATTCCTGTCCATCAAAAGATCTCTGTGCCAACTCATCTGCTCCTAGCTCAACTATGCTGTGCTACTATTCTTTCTGTCATCCTCCTGGTTTGTATTTTGAGATTCACCTATCTTGGATAAATATTCCAGAACTGATTAGTTTGCTTCTTTCATAATGAGCTGAGGTAAGTTTGATATACTAGCTGCTGATGTGTCTTTCTATATATTAGTATTTGGGCATTTGACTCCTCCTTTGTATTGTAACAGAGGAAGGGTCAGTCCCACTTGTTGTGCTTCCAAGGCAGTACAGCTGCTGGAACTGCATATGACCCTCCAGATGTTGGCTTTTAACTACTCTCACCCCTGACCATGGACCATGATGGCTGGGGCTAATAGGAGTTTCCTTTCTTTTTTATTTTATTCCTTTTTTATTCTTGCCTTTTTAATTATTTTTCTTCTGTAGATTAGTTTGGCTTTTATTGTATTCTGTGTTGAAAACTTGTAATAAAAATTGATTAAAAAAAGAAGTTCCAGTTTATTTCATAGTTGGACATAGTGACCGATTCATGTTGAGGGGAAAAGAACAGATATAATTCCTGATAAAACATGATAATCATTATGACTTTTAAAAAGAAAAGAAAAATAAATTACATGTAAAATGGATCACTAGCTACACAACATGCACATTCAGGCAATTATCCAATCACTCATCTTCAAGCATAATCAATAACCAATTGTAACTGATTCCTAAAATCTACTGAGGGTGCTGTCTTGTCTAATACATGGTCAAATTAGACACAATGGAATTTCCATCCACCAACCTGTAAACACTTTCAGATTCAACTGATTTACATAACTTATTCCAGTTTCTAATGTCTGGAGACAGAACCCTAAAAAGAACTTTATGTTGAGCTAGGTACTCAAAAAAGTTTGCTCTACTTTTTGTTGTTGTTGTTGAAAGTAGGGAGTAAGGGGAATGCAAATGTAATAAAGCCTGTAGCACAACTGTCAAGTACTTGGCTCATATCCCAGAAGAGTTTAAACCAGCATCTCTTCTAATGGGAAAGTGCAACACTTGCTGGCCTAATTAATACTGATTTTCATATTAAGTGAGAGCAATACATCTGTCTAAGGGAGACAAGGACTTAAAAATAAATTATTTCAAATTAAAAGTACTCAACAAATGCCAAGGTTTGGCATTATATATATTTGGTTTGCTGCTTTGCAGACTATTCCTCTCTCTGCGTACCTTAAAAGGACCTTGTAAGTATGATACTAGATGCAAAGTAATTCAGCTTTTCAAGCTTCTTGATGATGGAACTGAAAGAGACTGGAGATGACCTGCTCTGAACAATGTTTGTTTTGTGGCCCCACTCCCTTAATTTATGGGCCCTGGCTCCGGTTGGACAGCACAAGGAATATTCAACATGTTGACACAATGCTCAATAGTAACTTTTGAAAAATATCTGCTCAGGAATGCAAGCCTGTCGACAGACACTGCAGATACCTGTTTTTCTTAACATGCAGTGCTAGGGAAAGCTTCAGAAGAGAATTGTTTCATGTCCCATTCCCTACCCGTCCCGTCCCCCAAACCATTTGGTGTGAAATTTTCCTTTATAGAAGTCCCATTATTGTGTTCAGTTAAGCAGAGGAGTATCAGCATTAGTAATTGTTGATTGTTGCTTAAATGGCTATTGCCAAGGGGAGCCATTGGGGATAGAGAGGGAGAGTGAGCAAGAGCTAAATGAGGGGAGGAAGGAGAATGAAAATGAGAAATTGGAAAGCACATTTGGAGAGAGAATGCCAGAGGCAGAAACAGGGGAGTGAATTTAGGATAAAATGATGCCTCTTCCTTGTGCAATAAATGGACATGATGCAGAAAGACTGGCTTGGTTCTAATCATTGCCTTGAGTCCAGCCATTTGTGTGCTAAGAATTACTTATGCACACAGTATATCCAGGCTCAGGGCCTTATCATGCCTAAATGACACTGACTAGATGCTACAGCACTGAATCCCTAGAGACAATATTAAATTAAGACTGAAATGACTAAGTTTCTGGAAAAAAATGGTTCATCACTTAAGGATAAATTACAATTTTCAAACTAAGTGTAATGGGCGAACATATCTTAACACTTCCAGTAGAAACTAGTAGTCTTCATTTCTTGCCATAATGTTGTGATAAAGCTGAATTTATTTTCCAATCACCAGATGCCACGGTAGAGTAAAGTTGGGCAAATGATGGTTTTAAATTCAGCTCCTGTTGCAAGGCATTAGCCAAATAGCCATTTCTACTTCTATAATCCCAGACACGATATACTGTGAAGTATTGTTGTGCGTACATTAGCTTTTTTAACAACTCCCTTTAAAATTATTTGTTATCATTCATTTACTACTTGGCATTTAGGGCTCTACATTTAAAACAAATTGGACTATCATAAACCCTATCTTATTATGTTTCATTAAATGTAAAGCACAGATGGCACGTGAAGATAAACATCAGATAAGAATAATTGCATTTTTACACTCAATACTTTAAAAAAACAATTTGGCTACCAGTTTGTCACTTCTCAATGGTGTTTATATGATACAAAAATGAGGGGGGAAGTCACTTAAAAAGTGATTGTGTGTACTGATCAAGGTGATTCATTCATTCATATTGCAAATGTGGGAACATTTATGGTTACGATTCCTAGAGTCATTTGTGAAATTGCCCTAAATTTACAATATGGTTTCATGCAAGCTGTGGTATCATTAACAAACCTCACCTAATATTTGGAAGCAGATTAAATAAAATTGAATAATGAACCCAACACATAATCTATTCAACAATAAAGCAGCTAGGGCTGGTTCCAGGTTTGAAGGGACTCTTTTGGCATAATGCCCTCTGGTGGTCTCTCCCATATGAGTGCTTACTTCACCCACTGTGCACAGTTGAGCACCAGGGTAACTTGGGGCCACCATTCCTTTGTCACAATTCACACCTTCTACAATGCACAAGAACACGCCTGGAGCACCCCCAATGTAATGGAGGTCTCAACCATTTAAATGTCTCACAATTTCTCAGCAATGCTACATTGTGACTGGCTTGGGACATTGTAGGAAAGTTAAATGGTGGCTCCAAGCTGTCCTCATGCTCACTAGAATGCCTGCGATGAAGGGATGCAGCTCAGGGGCAAAGCAAATGCTTTACATGTAGAAAGTTCCAGGTTCAATCCCTGGCACCTCCAGGTAGAACTGACCATGCCCTCTATCTGAACCTCAAAGAGCAACTGCCAGTCAGCACGAACAGAACTGAACTAGGTGTACTAATGTTCTAACTTAGTATAACGCAGCTTCCTATACTCCTGAAACAAGGGTGTAGAAGAAGCATCAGTAGCCAGTCATGCTCTGTGTGGGTAGATGGCAAAGCACCAGACACTGTCAAAGGTGGCCTGGTGCTGACATTGGCCATATGAGGTGCTGTAGCTCAGGCCTCCTTGAAAATCAGGCCCTCAGAGTTGGAAACTATACTCTACTCTAAGGTGTATATGGTGTCTGTGGAATGACTTTGATTGTTCTGTGTTAAAAGAAAGGTTCCTTATTCCACATGATTCCACAAGGTTCCTTATTCCACATGATTCTTACAAGATCCCGTGGCAAAATCTTAGCCCACATTAAATCCTTTCCCCAAATTATTTCTATCATTTTGAAACTGTTCACACAGACCATTTTTCTCCACCAACTTGACTTCCATGGGATATTTTGCTAGCAGTAGTCAATGACTAGGTTGTGTTTGGTGAATACAGCCATCCCTCCTTCCCCTCAGTACAATGAAGTTGCATTTTTATTCTTCATACCTTGAGAATTTTGTACATAATCTCATATACAGAAAATGTTCTTTCGGCTCGTGTCCAGTCCCACGTAGTAACCTTGGGTGAAAATAAACAAAATTTAATTGAACTGTTTTTTCATCCAGTTATATCGGTTGGAAAGTAATGTCAAACTATGGTGTACAGCACGGTTGGGAAACCTTAGGCCTGAGGGCCAAATGTGGCCCTCTAGTCTGGTATATATGGTCCTTGGGACTCTCCTTAAGCCACACCCCTCCTCACTTGCACCCTTTTTCTGTAGGCTATGCCCTCAAATCCTTTATGAGTGTTTTTGTCTGGTTGGAATGTGTCCTTGAGCTCTGATAATGACTCCCACTCACCTCTGTGGAGGTTAGAAAGGGTTAAATCAGAGGCATAGCTGGAGGGGGGGCAATGTCCCCAGGTGCATTTTTCTAGGGGGTGCTGTTCATGCTGCCCTGCCAACCCTGCACCACTTCACAAGGCTGGAATCTAATCTGAATGATTCAACAAGCATAACCTGAAAGCTCTGCAAAACCAATCTCTGTGGGCAAGCTCCTTACAAAAGCAGTTTCAGTGTGATATATTCTCTTTATTGGACACATGCCAAATAGGACACAGCATATTTACATGGCACGGATGCCATACGGAGGAGGACCTCTAACAATGATCTCAGAAGGCAGCCGAGTTTGTTCACATGGGAGTAGACAGTCCTTCAGATATCCAGGTGTCAAACTATAAAGGGTTTCAAAGGTCATCACTAGAATATTGGATTGAACCTGGACACAAAATGGAAGCCTGTGTAGCTAAGGGATTCATACACTCCTTATATGTGGCCTGTATGAAGAGCCTGACCTCAGCCTTCTGGACCGACTGAAGTGTCTTTTTTTGTTTTAGCATCCTGTTTAAGAGCTTAATCAAACTTTGGGCCTAAAGAGTTATATTTCTATGCACTGAAAAGTTTTCCCTTTCTTCTTCCTTATCAGATCTGCTCCACCATAGGGAAAGAATCAGGCAGTCCTCTGTAGTGTAGTCTAATGCTGGCTCCCTCGGCCTGAAGCAAGATGAGTGCCGCACCCCATAGGCACGTTTGACTGAACTTAACCGTCCAGGAATCCTTTACCTTTTCCTCATGTAGAATGCATTGCAGTAATGTAAGGAAAAGAACCAGGGTATCTCCCCAACCTCATTCTTTTGTTACATGGTCAGAAACAAAATTGTACACTAGAAGAAAATTCTATCAAGAATTTTCCCCCTCATACTTATTAGATATTTCCTCATGATTATGGCATCAACAGAGAAGGTAGTTTCTGAAAACATGCTGTGTAAAGATCCGAGAGTTTCTAAGTTTACAGAGAAATCTCAGTACTGGGAATGGACAAAATTAGTTGTATGGTCATTTCTTTTCATAGCAATTTTGTCTTAATAAATCAAATTTTCCCATCACTATTGTTGTTTTTCCTTACAACAGAGCTGAATGAAATGCCTAGGAGTAACATAAAACCTTTATATCAATTTCATAAAAACCATTTAATGGGCAGCCAATAAATGGTACTAATACTTACTGGAGGTGCTATAAATTTATAAAGTGAAGAACCTCTCAACGCTAGAAACTTTGGTGTATACATTCTGTCCTGAAGAGAATCTTGTTCCCGTTCTTCTGTCCAGCCTGTGTAGACTATCTGGCAGAAAATACAAATAGTTTTGACAAATTCTACACACATACGATGAACATTTGTTATGAAAATATGCAACATTCAACAGCCTGTTTCTAGAAGTCCCGTGAAATTTCTGCTGACACAATCCACGTCTTGAATTGTGCATACGTGTCACTCAAGATTTATTCACACAGAAAGTCATTCAACAATACACATGGCATGCACAACTCATCCCATACATAATTTCAAGACTTCAATTGTGCAAACAGCCCACTGTTAATTAAAATTCCTAATGAAATGCTTCTTTTTGGTTTTCTTTGCAACTGTGTGAAATAAAAAGGAGAAGATGGAAATAAATTTTCACTGCATTGCATAAAAGAATATAATCGCACTTCCCCACATTAGATTATTATGTGAAAATGATGTTGCAACAAATATACTTAACACTGCATTCAAGCATGTTTGCAAACTTTATGTGACAGTTTTGTTACAGGAAACTCTATTATATTATACTGAGAGAGATGTACCAGCTGTCCAAACATCATTCATAACATTGCCAAAACATGGTATCATATGATGGTCATAATCACTTGTGAGGATACTCATCTTCTAGTGGACCATGAACCTGAGTCTTAGGGTTGAGCAAAAAAAAAATTGTGACCCAAGTGCCTGTTTTTCAGCGGCGTAGCGTGGGTTGTCAGCACCCGGGGCAAGACAAGTAATTTGCGCCCCCTAACCCGTGGATTTGCGCCCCCTAACCTGTGGATTTGCGCCCCCTAACCCATGGATTTGCCCTAACCCCAGATGTTGCGCCCGGTGCAGCCGGCCCCCCTGCACCCCCCACGCTACGCCACTGCTGTTTTTAACCTCTTTTAGAAGCAAAAGAAAAGCATAACTCGGACAATATTACTGTCTCTTTAAACTGCATTCACTGTAAAATGAATTACTTGACAGTAGACTACATGGAGAATATAGCATGTCTTTGTTTTTAGTGCCCCTGATTAAAACTGTAATTGAAACACTAGGCCTAAGCAATTGTATTTTTATGCATCGAAAGATTTTCCCTTCTCTAGTTTCTACTTAGTTCAAAACTAGCAGCATGGAAGAGTTGCTGTGATTTATTGAAAAAACATCTCACCTACTAACTACTTGTGACTTTGAATGTAGCTTTTTACTGGAAATTGGGGAAAAAATCAAGCTGTGGATAAAATGAAGAAGAATTGGAAGCGCACTTCCTTTGCATCAAAGAGTCGCTGCTTTTGAATCTGGGAGAAGAGGCCATCTTTCAAGGCAAAAAGCACCTAATTGTCACAGGACCACCAGAAATGGCTCAGTAGACTAGATCCAGCTACCAGGCTTGTCACCTTTGTGCCAATATTATAGGAGTTACCGACCCTAGAAGGATGTAGGGCCAACTAAAATGGTCTATACCCTTGATGACTTTTAGACACAACTGATTTCTACAATGCCTTTGTGGAGTTTGCTACTGCCACTGCTAGCTATCCAACTGATAGATAAGGAAGAAAATTTACATGATGGCTCCTACATTTGCAGGTCCAATATCTTGAGATTCTGATCTGCTAGTTCCCATAAATAAAGTTAATCAAGTATGTGTGAGAACTGGGGATATTTAATTTATAAGCAAGGGATTTTGTTCACTTAACAGATTTTCTCTCTGAAAACCTTGATAATATTTCATAATGTCTGATGTCATTTATCAACCCAGATAAAGCCATTTGTTCTATATAGATGCATTGATATTTCACACTGGATTTTTTTTTTCTTTTCAGTATTAAAGCAGTCCCGGAAATTTAAAGCAATTGCTCTTTGATATATTGTTCCCTTGTCTCTCTACATCATGTGAATGAATTAGATTGATTTCACTGACGGGCCTTTCTTTTATTAAAGATTTATTAACATAAAAAGGATTATTTTTGATTCAGACCGTACAGCACCTGTCAAACTGTTAATTCAAAAGACTACAAGATATCAGAAGCAATATTCAAGACCATCTCTTGCTGCATGCAAGATATGAAATTGATCAGGGAAAGGGGGAGACCCTATAACTTTGTTTCAGCAGATTTGTAGGTAATTTATATTACTGATTTGCTCACTTACCTGAAAGAAACCTTACAAAAGGGGGGGGGGGCGGAGAGAACCATAGTTGGATAAACACCTCATAGGTCACCAAATAAGTAGTCCCTGCATGCAAAAACCTAAGTTGTGGGGATCAGAGAGCAGGAAAGTAGATGCCACCCCTTTGCCCATATTTTCAAACCTTCCCATGTTCACCCCAATTTTTCCGCTGCTTTAGCCCAATATATATCCCCCCGTGCCATTTGTTTTTTTTCAGCTCTACCATTCTGAACCACCCGAAATGGCTTTTTGCCTTAAAAGCCTTCCCCATGCTTCTCAATTACTCTTACAAAATGCCACCAAAGCCTGTGTCAAAAACCCATCTTATCGGATTTTACAACCCATATGTCCAGGGGTGAGAAATCCTTTTCAGCCAAGGGCCATATTCACTGGTTAGAAAGCTGCTAGGGGGGTGCATTCCAGTAGATGGTGTGGGCAGACCCTCATCTAAGCACTTGCTCTCAACATACACACTATAACAGGGTGTTAGAGACACAACACACACACTCACGCGCGCGCGCACACACACACACACACACACAGCTATATTCAGTGCTTTTTCCATTAAAAAATGTTTAGGGGTACTCTCATTTTCCTACTTAAATTGAAAGACTGCCCCTCAATGAGGCCAAACTTAGATTCACAAAATGTTTAGGGGTATGCGTACCCCTGCACCCCCCCCAGAAAAAAAGCACTGGCTATATTCCATGGAAATGGGAATATATTTAACTCTCACACTCTGTTTCCTCCATATACAAAGTTTTGAAAGAAAGAAAGAAAGAAAGAAAGAAAGAAAGAAAGAAAGAAAGAAAGGCTCTCTAATTTTCTTAATCTGCCCTAATGCATATAACATCAATGACAGCTGACTTTCAAGTCTGGCTTTCAAAACTCCCATTTCAAAATGCAATTTCAGACCCTTTTTATTTACCTGGGTCTTTCAAATCATCATCATCATCATCATAGCCCGCCCATCTGACTGAGTTGCCCCAGCCACTCTGGGCGGCTTCCAGCATATATAGAAACATAATAAAACATTAAACCTTAAAAAGCTTTCCTATACAGGGCTGCCTTCAGATGTCTCATAAAAGATATATTGATCTCCTTGACATCTGATTGAAGGGCATTCCACAGGGTGGATGCCACTCTGCCTGGTTTCCTGTAACCTCACTTCTCGCCGTGAGGGAACCACCAGAAGGCCCTTGATACTGGATCTCAGTGTCCGGGCTGAACGATGGGGGTGGAGACGCTCCTTCAGGTATACAGGGCCAAGGCCATTTAGGGCTTTAAAGATCAGCACCAAGACTTTGAATAGTGTTCAGAAAAGTAAGTTAGTTGCTTTGTGTTACCATATAGTTTTATTTGTGATCTGCACTGTTAAATTCCAGTTTGTTAATTTTATATATTGTTAGTTTGGAAACATTAGCGCAACTGAAAATTTAACTGGCCTGGGGGTCAGCTTGGCTGACCTGCATTGTGAGGCATCCCTTCATCCAGATACAACCCTGTTCAATGTCAGCCATCAGTCAGGAGACTGACTCAGAGACATCCCCAGTGCCTAAGCCAAAGCCTACCAGCATCTGTGATCAATAAAGTTGTGTTCAGTTCCAGAACATTGTTGTGCCTGTTTATTCTTATGTTTCACTACCCCTTCCTGGCTCCTGGGGTCTCGCTGCACATGGCCCTGCAGCTGCAACATATACGTGTTATTGTCTATAGTTGTTGATGCATGTCTAGTTTTATACAATCCAACATATCTATACAGTAAGAAATCATCAATGTGTCTTGTTTACTTGCCATGCAACTCACCTGCCCACTGGCATAGAAACATTATTCTGTAATCCCATTAGGCTGTCAAATTTATCACTAAAAGGACCCTACTGTCCTTTTTTTTCAAAGGAATGCTATGGTTTGCTCAAGGATCTAGGGACATTCATTGACAGTCTCCACAGAGCTGTTCCCCACAAATTCTTTGATATGAGTTTCCTACACATTGTGACCAAGAATTTACCATGCATTAGAGAGTCTTGGGTACTGCTTCACATTCCCCCTGAAAATCCACAGCAGACTGTTTGCTACTATAAAAATCATAGCTGTGAAAGACAAATTGAGCTGGGACTGCAAAGAAGTCCAGAAGTCTTAGTGGGCTTGGATTAACTTAATAGTGTTGAGGCAGCAGGGATAAAGTATGCTTTGGGTAAGTCTTTTGGATATTGAATTTCCAGTGGAACTAACTTACAGGCATAACACTAATGTCTGGATAACTAAATGACCTACTCCCACCCCCTAAGAGCTTGCTCCTCGTTTATATTCAGGCACTACAGGGTGGCTAAGAATTGAGAGAGACCAATTTATTGCAAGATAATTCTACTTATCCCCTTTCCTTGGCAGTAAGTCATTTTGTTGTTGCTATTTAGTCTCTCTGGACCACTCTTCAATCTTGATTTCCAACTATACTGCCTGCATTCTGACTTCTGAAGCTGCTCCACTGTGACTTATCATGGTTTATGGCTCAAGATAGCTACCTTCAGCTCGATTTTCAGCCAAAGATACAGTATTGCTCTGACATGATCCATCTCCAGCCCCATTACCATTGTGTACTGGTCTTTCTTCCCAGTATTTACAGTCAATCCACCTTTTTTTGTTTCTATCACATGCTTGGATTTTGAATGTGCTTCTATAAAATTAATCACAAATTACAAACTGATCCATTTTATCACACTCCAAATAGTTTACTACACAGCAGCCAGGTTTGTCTAAAAGAAACTTATAGGAACACAAACATCAGAAATAATCAAACTTGATAATATGTAGACATAAGATTAAATTGCTAGCAGAATTATACCATTACAGAAAGGGCCATTAATCTTCTAAAAGAGAAATCAATGCCT